AACCTCTCCCCCCTCCCTCCTCTTAGACTTTACCTTTCAGGGGCATCAGTAGTGATTGTTGGAAATCTTGCTTTAGTCCTCCCTTTTCTCCTCAGGCTGGCAGGGAGCCACAAAGCCACCAGCTCAAGGTTACCTGCAGAGTGTTTCTTCTTCTCTCCCCTCTTAGAGCAGAATGGAAAACTACAGGGAAGAAAAGACAGTGCATGCATGCAGCGGTGAAAGAACTGGGACTCTGGAAACCTGCTCCCTGCTCTCCTTACCCAAGTTGTTAAAAATTTGGTAGAAGGATATTAAGAGTGGAGAACATAGAAAGTTAAAGTAGTATGGAGATACCTCAAAGAACTGAATGAAAGCAGACCTACCATTTGATCCAGCAATCTTGCTACTGGATATTTAACAAAAAAAAAAAAAAAAAAGGACAAAAAAAAAAACTTTCTCCATTCCTACATTCCAGATTACCATGTACTGATGAACTTTTGTTCATATACAGAAGTTTAACTTATCAAGACATGAGACCATCACAGTATTACAAAAGGAGTATAAACTTTCCTTGGACCAAATGGATATTTAAAAAAAAAAAAAAGAACGGTGAACTCATGCCTTTTATAACAACCTGGATGGAACTGGAGGCCATCCTTTTAAGTGAAGTATCACAAGAACGGAAAAACAAAAACCACACGAACTCACTATTAAATCAGAACTAATAGAGCATCACTCATGCACACATATGGTAGTAAAATTCAACAGAAATCAAGCAGGTGGCAGGGAAGAAAGGGATGGGTAAATTCACACCTAACTAGCACAATGTACACTATCTGGGTGATGGACACAGTTATAACTTTGACTCAATCTGTACAGAAGCAATTCATGTCACCTAAATATTTGTACTCCCATAATACTCTGAAATGTTGAAAAAAAAAAGACTCATTTCAGAAAAAAGATAAAGAAACCATGAAAGAACTGAAATTCTCCCCTCTCTCTTAAGACCCAGGTATTGTTCCTGGCACTTCTGCCAATTGGTGAATGAAAGAGTTCAAAAGTCATTAATACGAAGAATTTCAACTGAATCTTGCTGTTGGTCTTTGGACAGAATATTCATAGTTGTGGAAGACAACCCTAGGGTCCAAACTTTGGGTGCAGCTGAATTTGGTCAGTATGGTATGCTTAGATTAATATCATATATGGGAGCAATGTATTTTGATAGGTTAAATAACTTCAGGTGAGAAGATGCTAACATTTCTCCATTATCCACTGATGTTACTGAACAGTGTTATTTATGAACTGTGACTATACACACTTTTCCTTTTCATGAAAGTAGTCCCAGAAAAATTTAAGAACCAAAGAGGCTGTCATCTCCAAACACACATACACATACACTCTTACAGACTTAAGTTTGGGCACCAGAGCACAGTAGAATCTGGTGAGATAGAAGGGTGTGTTTGATGAGCCCACGAGGGCTCATAGGAGACCAAAAACCCAGAAGTTCTAGCTTCTGCTCCTCAAACAGTGATCTGAGTTGGTCAGCAATCAGCCAATCATTTTTCAGTCTTCTTGAACTCTGACCCACCTGTGTAGCCTTAGCCAGATACAGAAACAGAAAAATCAGAACTGATCTGTCTAGCTCTATTTTAAAAACTCAGAGGTGGACAGTGTCATGAATATAGAATGTTAAATAACAGTCTTACATCACAGAGAGAGAGTGCACCTTCTGTGAGATACCAGTATTTTTTAATCTAAGAAAACTGAAATAAAGGACACACATACCCTTAGGTAAATAGCATAGTTGAGCACAAAACTATCCTTTCAGCAATACTCAGAGATGAGACTAGCAACATTTTCAGTAGCATTAACTAAATTGTGTGTGTGTGGATGTATGTGTTACACTGTGAAAAACCAGACAGCCTGTGATATGATAGAGGAAACATTGGAGTTGGAGTTGAAACAACTGAATTTTTATCCCAGCCCTTCTACTAACTATAGATACAACTTAGGAGAAATACTTACCTTCTCCAATTCTTAGTTTCTTCATTTCTCAAAGTAGTCATGGTGCTGATTCATTTCCAGTGTCCCTTCCAGCTGTAGAAGGTTGGTTCTGGGTCACTCACCTTGGGCTCATGCTGATTTAATCAAATTAAAGCATTTTATTCTGATTTTCTTAGATTAAATAAAATGTACCTGACTTGATATAGGAAAACTATATCAAGAGGTGTTTTCAACAATCTTACAGGAAGCAAAGCCTTCCTTTCTAGTTGGAAATAGAATTATGCTGACCATGAGACTGAGGTTTGGAAGGTTAAACCTGCTTCTACCATTCTTCATACTCCTAGGAGAAAACATCCCATAGGACGGAAACTTCTCTCTCATCCTGCTCTTAATGGTATTTGGCATTTGGGTATTTCCTCAAACAAACCTATAATATGTACTAATGTTATGTTTTGAAGATTTGTATCTTTCTTAATTATTACCTCAGAACTTGCCATTTATTGTTGACGCTGTGTATGTCTGTATGTGTGTGCCTGTGTAAAGAAGAGCAAAACAGCAACAAAAATTGGAGGAAGCATTTAATACTGATAATTTATGTAAAAAGTTTCCCTTCGCTTTAACAATCTATGTGTGAGCATCATTTCTTGATTCCTATTTAATTGAGAGCTAATTCTACAATCCTCTACTTATACCCTAATACATCCACAGCAAAGACAAGGTTTTATTTAGTTGTTCTCCAATCAAAATGTATTTTTGCATAGAAAAGCAATAGGTATGATTAATTCTTCAGTGATATTCAAAAAAGCATGCCTTAAACTTATCTTTCTTTAATTAGAAAAAAAATCTGCAGTTTTCATGTAATAGTCTTTCTATGTTACACATTCAGCTCTTAGTTTTTAAAAAGTACTAGTGGCAAAACTATGATTTTTTTCTCAAAAAATGAGAAAACACATTCTTTTATTCTATGTACATTATGCCTCTAAATTTCACAGCTTGGAATATATACACAAAATGTTAGGATATTAATAGAATTTTAGATATGTTGATTGAGAGAAACATTTTAAAAATCTCATTTTAAAATAAGAATTTCTCCAAAATCTTATTTGGATTTGATCATTATCTATTTTTTTTTTTTTGTTACCCTATGTTTTTTTTTTTTTTTTTTTTTTTTTATTTTGGCATATTATGGGGGTACAGATTTTAAGGTTTCAATAAATGCCCATTCCCCCCCTCCCCCCAAAAGTCTGAGTCTCCATCATGACCATCCCCCAGATGGTGCACATCTCCTCACTATGTATGTATATACCCGCCCCCTCCCCCCTCCCACCTGCCCAATACCCTATTACTGTAGCACCTATGTGTCTACTTAGGTGCTACTCAGTTAATACCAGTTTGCTGGAGAATATATCTGGTGCTTGTTTTTCCATTCTTGGGATACTTCACTTAGTAGTATGGGTTCCAGCTCTAACCAGGAAAATATAAGGTGTGCTATATCACCATTGTTTCTTAGAGCTGAATAGTACTCCATGGTGTACATATACCACATTTTATTAATCCATTCTTTGATTGATGGGCACTTGGGCTGTTTCCACAGCCTTGCAATTATGAATTGTGCTGCTATAAACATTCGAGTGCAGGTGTCTTTTTTGTAGAGTGTCACTGGATCATTTGGGTAGATGCCCAGCAATGGGATTGCTGGATCAAATGGGAGATTCACTTGTATCGCTTTAAGGTATCTCCATATTGCTTTCCACAGAGGTTGAACTAGTTTGCAGTCCCACCAGCAGTGTAGGAGTGTTCCTCTCTCTCCGCAACCACGCCAGCATTTATTGTTTGGAGATTTTTTGATAAAGGCCATTCTCACTGGGGTTAAGTGATATCTCATTGTGGTTTTGATTTGCATTTCCCTGATGATTAGAGATGTTGAGCATTTCTTCATATGTTTGTTGGCCATTCTTCTGTCTTCTTTAGAAAAATTTCTGTTCAAGTCCTTTGCCCACTTTTTAATGGGGTTATTTGATTTTTTCTTCCTAATTTTCGTGAGTTCTAAGTATATTCTAGTTATCAGTCCCTTATCGGATGCATAGGATGCAAAAATTTTCTCCCATTCTGTAGGCTGTCTGTTTACTTTCATGACTATTTCTTTGGCTGTGCAGAAGCTTTGTAGTTTGATCATGTCCCATTTATTTATTTTTGTTGCTGCTGTGATTGCCTTTGGGGACTTCTTCATAAACTCTTTGCCCAGGCCGATGTCTAGGAGAGTGTTTCCAACTTTTTCCTCTAGAGTTCTAATAGTTTCATATCTTAGGTTTAAGTCTGTTATCCAGTGTGAGTTGGTTTTTGTGAGAGGTGAAAGGTGTGGGTCCTGTTTTAGCCTTCTACAGGTGGCTATCCAGTTTTCCCAGCACCATTTATTGAAGAGGGATTCTTTTCCCCAGCGTATGTTTTTGTCTGCTTTGTCAAAGATGAGATGGCTATATGAGGATGGTTTTATATCAGGATTCTCACATCTGTTCCACTGGTCAATATTCCTGTTTTTGTGCCAATACCATATTGTTTTAATTACTACAGCTTTGTAGTATAGTTTGATATCTGGCATATTAATGCCTCCCATTTTGTTTTTGTTGCCTAGAATTGCTCTTGATATTCGGGGTCTTCTTTGGTTCCATACGAAGCGTAAAATTATTTTTTCTATATCTGTGAAGAATGCTGATGGGATTTTAATAGGTATTGCATTGAATCATTATCTATTTTTTATAGTACAGAGAATCTTCTAATTCAACTAAATTTATTTCTGGGGCTTAAAACTTTAGCTTCTGATATGATAGTACTTTAATTTTATTCCTTATATCATAGCAGTACAATTTACCAAAATATTATAAAAGTTTAAAATAACATTGGTATTTTAATATATCTAAAGACTGTTTCCTTTAATCCTATTGCTTTGTGTTTTTGTATTGGTAAGCTTTTCACCTATTTACCCAAAATCAAAATAGCAATATCCAACAAAGACCCAATTCAAATAAGTTCCATAAAATGCACAATTTATTCTGTATCATGAAAAAATATCCACATTTAAATAAAGTGTGAAAAAAGCAAAGTTAATCCTCCCTGATGAAATACAGTTTATTGTGCTGAAACCCAGAATTCCTTTGGGTTAAAAACTTCCACCTGCCAATTCACTTTTTAAAATGACTATTTCTTAAGAACAAACTTTAAATAAAGTTATAATCACTACAAACTTCCCAGAAGCAATCAAATTTTGATCACAAGTATTCCAGAATTTACCCAAAATCACATAGTTATAGTATTTTCACACATCCTTCTAGCAATCAGATGATAGGTCAAGAATACATACAAAATTTCTATATTACACATTGCAATATCTTTAAATAGAAACATGATCTGCTTAGCATGAATCAGATTTTGAAAAGAGCAGACAAGTAATGCTTAGCATAATGGTATTAAAAAACATCTCACATGAAGTGTTTGCTTTGTTTCCTTGGTCAATACATGAATTAATTATTTCCAGTGAATTAACCCTTTGTAATACCTGCAAATTTTCACAAATACAGATGCAGTGGCAGAAACATTTAATAATTTGCAAAATTAACTCCCATATTAACATTAGCATTATAGTCAGGAATTTACATTATAGTATACAAAAATGCTGCAACTAGTGTAAACAAAGTCACTAGAACATAGAATAAAAAGAAATCTATAGTTTGCAATATATCATAAATCTGCACATTTTAATTTGTGTTGCTTGAGAACCAAGCACTGCTAAAAGTCATTGCTCTTTTAATAATCTATAATGGATGCTTTAGGGTAAAAATGGTTCTAAATTGGTTTCCAATTTCAATGTGATAAACAGTTAAGAAATCTGTTCCTAATGTGAAAAGTGTGTTCTCTCTTGCTTTGTTAATTGTGAAGAGGTTCTAAGGTGAAGCCAACTGCTTGATGGGAGATGCCTACAGCCATAAGGAGATATAAGCAAACATCATTACACGTATCCTCTCTCTGACAAAGGATCCTGAGAACCACAATGTGAAAATATCACTGTAAAGGTCAAGAAAAGCAATCCTCACCACTATTTTTTCTAAAAATGAAATATGTTGAATCATCTTGATTTTAAATAAAAGTATGTTTGGATTTTATGTTAAGTTACCAATTCATGGCTATGTCATAGTATATCCATACTAAATATTCAGGTCTATCAAACTTTCTTTGACATGGATTTAAAAATGGATCTCTATTGTGATTTTGCATAGTTTTCAAGCTAGCTATTCTATTGGCCTAATCCGAAATCTTTTCCATCATACTTTGGTTGGAAAAGTTCAGAGTAAAGGAGGCATCCATGGCACTGTGATCAACAATAATCTTTACCTTAGTTTTGTCACAAGGTCTCATTTCCCTAAGTCATGGGGAGTCTGACCATGGAAGGAAAAGGTCAAATTTTATATTATCAAAGATGGTTTAGCAGAGAATGAAGATAAAATATTTGACAATGAATCACTTAAATTAGTTATTATGGATACTCAATCTGGTTTATTCAAGCATCAAGGTGAATATTTTGGCCTTGAATGCTCTGGTCATTCAACAATCAGCCATTCTTCATGAATGGGAGACAGTGGTCAGATCTTTTTGGCTTTGTCCCATCAGGCTGCAGCCAACCAGCTAAGTGCTCAGGGGCCTGGGCACGTTGGTCAGAACTAAAGGTTCTGGACTGATGGGTTTCTGGGGGCGCACTCATTTCTAAAAAGGTCCCAGCATTTGACAAGCTTTCAAACTGCTTCCAAATGTTTTGTTAAAAATCTTAACAACAGCCATGACAATGTGTTATCTTTAAAAACAAGCAAACAAACAAAATTCTAGTATTTAATAAAAAGGATCAGACACAGAAAATCCATCAAGAAGAATCTATCCATCCTCCTCCTTTTCCTCAATTATAGCTCTGACCCTCAGCTGCACTTTTTGGTCAGTTGTTCTTTGACCAAGTGTCTTTACAATCAATAGAAATCATGAATTCATTTAAATAATAATGAAATGATGATATAAAAACCAGGAATGGAAGTGAGCTAACTAGGAAAAGCTTTATGTAGTGTCACTGGAGTCTTTCACAATTATGAAAAGAAAAGTAATATGTTCCTTTCTATGGTTACCTCTGGCTCTGTTATTAATAAAGTGAAAACAGGATGGTTTGGGCTGAGGATCCCAGGTGTAATGTGGTAATATCTTGTTTTTTCTCCTTATCTCAAGAAATTTACTTTAAAAATCTCAAAGGGTAGAACAAATAAATCAAATTCAAAAAAAATAATATTTTTATTAGAGAAAATTATTTAAACTCTGTGAAGTAACTACACATACAACCTCATTAAATTTGGGAATAAGAACACAATTTGCCATTCTAAACCAAAATGATTCACTTGGACAATTTATTTAATAGTGGTTTGGCCAAGAAGCCACATCAGTGCAATCAATAAAATGTCTGAATAATCTAATTAAAACCCAGTAGGTCAAAGAATAAATTTTTAAAATAAAGTCTTTCCATAGTCTTATCCAAATATCATTATTAAAAATAAAGAGAAATTATAGAAAAAGTCCTAAATGACTTTTACTTTCCTTAACTATCATCTATTACCTTTTTAGGTTAAAATTCAACTGGAAAAGAAAATGTTGCTATCGGTGACCATATGTCAACTTTGCTTCTTACTTATAACCATATTTGACAGTTTGCCTCCACTGATGCCTTTCAACTGTTGGGAGAAGTGAACAAAAATTCCATTACTGGGACAGGGCACCTTTTGCATATAGCAGTTAAGACTCTGTCATTTGCTCTGACTTGCCAAGGAGAACCAAACATTTACATTCACATTATAAAATGCAATTTTTTAAAAATTATTTTAATTTAAGAAACCTTTACAAGTATATTTCTTGAAAGACTTGGACTTTGTGGTTGAATTAGATAGTCCTTGTAATGTCATTGTTCTGTTAAGATTAAGCTTTCTCTCTAACTGCCTTTATTAGAATTTCAAATTTACTGCTCAATAGCTATATCCTGGACACAAGTTCCTTAACCTATTCCTTCATAGGATTGTTGAAAGAGTTAAATTTGATAATCTAAATAAAGTGGTCAGCATAGTGAGAACTCAATACATATGAGCTTAATTAGTTTATTTACTTTCTAAGCCTTAGGGGTAAAGAAGCAGAGTCTACTCAGTCCTCTCCCAATCCTTGCCTTCATCATCTTCCTGGTTCTCAGTCTGACTCCTCAATGACCCTGACCCTCATAATGCATGCAAACACATTGGTCTCATCTTCAAAATCAAGTGATGGAAAATCTTGAGTTAGAATACAGATCAAAATTTTTAATATCTAGCACATAGTTAAGAATTTTATTGTAAGAACATTTGCTCAAGTGAAATCATGTATCTTGAATAAGTCATGATTGTTTTGTATAAAAAGTTAAAGGATGAATTACTCTACCTCGAACGTTTACCAATATGCATACTTTTTCACAAAATGAGAGTTTCTGCTGAGCAGTATGATTAAGTGGAATAAGAAAAATCGTAAAATGTACCTATGTCTGTTTCTCTTTTTTCTCCTTTCCTTCTCCCAACAGACCTTCATTAGCTCCATGTTTATTTGATCAGTAGTTCTAAATTCCCAGATTAGTATCAAGTGATATGCTCACATGCCATTAACTGATAATTATTTAGCAAGGCATGCCTCTCTCCACCAACCTCTGACCAGAGAAATCTCTTTTAAAATCTAGAGTAATATTTAGATAGAGAGCACATCACAGCTAATCTCCTATGAAAGAAAAAGTGATAATTTGTCATAATGTGATTTTCATCTGAGAGAAACATGATTTTCCATTGACCTAATAGGACTTTAATATAAGAAAGGAGCAGCTCTTACCTTCATTGTATTATTTATTGGTTGGGGAATTGAAGCATTGGGCATAATAAACAAACAATTAACTTGCCCAAAATTATACTGCTGGATTGTGGCAAAGCTAGATTCAAAGTCCAAGACAGAGCTCAGATACTCATCCTAGGGTGTTTTCCTAAAGACTGTATTAATTTTCCTCCTTTCCATCAAGACAAGAAAAGAAATATTTTTATACCCAACACAAGATACTAAAGCACAACATTCACATGATTACAAGATATTTGCATTTTAAAGTGATCCATGTATGATATGCATATTCTAAACAAATTTTCTCATTACCTACATGAAATTTTGGAAATAAGACTCAGAGAAAATAGCTTAAAAGATAAAAATCATACAAGATACTGGAATTCATTAGGATGATGACAATTTCACAATCAGCCATGCACACTTCAAAACAGTCACTGCTCTGAAGACTGATTTAAAGAAAAAACGTTTAGCAAATTTAGTTATTTAAAATAGGACATCAAATGGACAAGATCTCACAGTTGAACAAAATTTCCTTAAATTTAAGTGAAAATGTGATTTGCATTTGGGCTCCCGCAAGGTTCATTTTCAAAATGGCACTTTAGTTAATGGTTATAACTAATATTTCAATTAAAGTGTTGGGTACAGAAGGGGTATATATTTGTTCTAGGAGGAATTTAAAACCCTCAATTTTAAAATTATATTTTCTCTGATCTACATAAAGTTGGGTTTTTCTTTTTTTTTAGTACTGAGGACACTTACACTCCTACACTTAATGTGAGATGAAATCAGTATCATCATAAAAATTTTTCAATTTAATGATGAAGTATGGATCTGTATTCAACCACTATGCCTGAACCATTTCAAGTACCATTCGTGTAGCTTTGGTATTGTCGTCTGGTCTTTGTGTGCCTATTTGCCTTTTATCGTAAACTTTTCCATCTACTAGATCACATTTAGTGCAGCAATATAAAACTTGCCATTATGATACACAGTTTGCATTTCCATTCTTGTTTGACTTTTGCTATTATGTTACAACCACCTGTTCTGAACATAGCATCTGATCTTATACATTAATATATCATAGAAAAATATTGACGTTGTGGACATCGCTTTGGAAAATGTTTGGATTTTAAATACACATCCATTTACTCCTATTAATACATTATTCAGAAAGATAACAGTAGAAATTTTATTCTGGATGCACCAAAAGCATCTATACAGTGTAGAAATGAAACATGCAGTTGGCTGGTCCCCAAAAGAGCATCTACTGTCTATGTGCCAGTTGAGGCAACACAGAACATGATTGTATCATTATTGCATGTATTAAAGCAAGTGCTCACCCTTCATTCAAATCTGAGTAAATTCAGCTTCTAAGAATTGTGGAATCTGGGAGCCTAAAAGACTAATCTATATACAATGTTTGCTGAATACACGCATTCCTGCTGAAAACAGCAGAGTATATTCAGCACCATATCATGTCATGCACGCAGAAAACAGCGGTGGCTGGAAAAGAATACTGTGATAGCTGCACCATAAATAAACAAGTGATACTTTTCCCTCCCATTGACAACCTGGAATAGTTCAAAATCGCTATGTTTCTTTTCCACATGTATGAACAATAAATACTATTGTAGGTTGATTAGGTGAAACTCTGAGTCGATGTCAGAACACAGTAAACATCTGCACCACTAACATGTAAAGGCGTGGATTGCAACTTCAAATCATCATGCTGTTTCACAGTCATTCTTTTGGAGCTTTACACCAACAGTTATTTTTAAAGCACGTGGCTAACGTTAAACTAACAATTTCTGTACTCAGTTTATTATTTTTTTTTATTTTACCACTCATTCATCCTTAAAGGCTTTAGCCAAACTTGACTTAAACTAATATAAAAATACCCTGAAATTCAGTAATCGTCAGAAGTCAAGAAAAAGATACCATTCTCACCATGAAAGCAACAAAATCCCAATTTTAGGGCTGATTCCTCACACCACAATTATTTCATTTTCTTGTGCCTATGGTAGGTAGATATTGTAGAATAGCATGGAGACATGCTCCCCTGAAAACTTCCGTATGTGTAGTGGAAGTTATATGCACAAAGAAAGGAAAATGGAGCCCATGGCACACAACGTATGTTCTGAGACTCCTAGATTAAAGAGGCACATCTTGTGGGCATGTGAAGAAGTTCTAATAGAAATTCTAAGATAGCAACTGTTTTTATAAATTGCTATTTTACACTTCTCCAGTCTGATTGTAATAACTTGTCTTTCGGTTCTGGTGGCTTTGGTTGGGGATACTGGGAGATAGTTAGAAAAGCTCATAAAAATGGTTATAATAGACCAAAATATCTCCTTTAGTTTGCCATCATTTGTGTATGTTGTTAAGATATATGTACAGATGATCTAGTAATAATACAAATTACCGGCATATATTTTCAACCTGATTCAAACACTAACTCCCCTGCTCCTAATATTAAATGCCATACATGCACTGATTGAAAAGTACGCCTCTCTGAACAACTTAATAAAATATATATTAGTCAAAAGAAATGTATTTTCCTGGGTTCTTACAAATGAATGTGTATTTTATTCTCAATACATACCACTTAAGGGACTAGAAATACACAGCTATACTCAACTCTTTGTGACTTTTTTTAATTGATAATAGGCACTTTCTAAAAAGAGGATTTGTGACCCGAAAGACAACAAAATTCATTCTTTAGTAAACCCCTTTCATAAGTGGATCTGCCCGAGCCATAGCAGTCTGTTGTATCAACTCAGCAGAAGTCCAGCGGTAGAAATGTGTGCAAAAAAGCTTCAGAAAATTGTAACCAGAATAAAATGACAGAGAAGCAGTTATCTAAGTTGAACAACTTAACATCAACTTGTTGGTTGGTTGGTTGGTTGGCTGGTTTGTTACCACGTTTTATGTGTTACCACTACCAACAATAAGGATCATGTGTCAACAATCCAAACCAGTGTTTCATTCCAAGTTACAGATACGTTACAAAAACTTGCCTGTTTACATTCTTTTTTTTTAATTTTGTGTCATAATAATTAAAATTTTGATATGATTACTTAAATGCTTTTTTGTATGTTTCTTTGCTAAGAGCCTTTCAACCTTACTCTTAAACAAGTTTTACAAATACAAATTTAGAGCATTCATCACCTTGGGAAAAATCTGCATTTCTAATATGAATTGTTAAAAGGCCCTTATACCCTGTGGTGCAATATTTCTATAATAACATACACAATATTAATAAGTTAGTATTTATGGTGTTTATATCATCAGTTTACAAGATGGCAGCTGTTCTCCAAGACAGGGGGAGTAGGGATTTCCTTACATAAGCGCTAATGATTACTATCTAAGTATAATGTTAAAAAAGAAGAGGTATACTTGAGCAAAAATGCAATTCATGCACAAAACCCATAGCAATAAGTTTTCAATACCCCACACTGCTATCTGACTCAGGCAACAATACAGTCATTTAAATGGAGCAAACACTGCCTGTAGGGGAAAATAACCTAACACTAAGTTACAGAAAAATATCCTATGGAAAGAGATCATAAAATGATACCAATAGTTTAAAAGACTGAAGTCTTCCTTGGCATTAATCTATAATTTTAACTTAAAAGAACAGTGAGGAAATGACAACTCGATATACTCAGCCTGAGATCAAATTTGTCATGGCAACATTGGCAGGTTGGACCCTGATTCTTCAAATATTACATTGCCTTGGTTAACAAAAATCATACTTTTTTATTATAGAATAGAGATTATAAATAAATGTAAAGTGTGCATGCAGTCAACTGCATAATATACAAGCTATATCTAGATTTTTAATAATAATCATCTTCTTTGGCAGGCCAGAATCCAGCTGGACATGCAATATTTACATATCAAAATCCATGTTGTGTTCATCATATTGAAAGCAAGTGAAAATATATATATATATGTATATACTGTATATACACACATATGTATATAGATGTATATACTGTTTTAATATATTAACAAATATATATGTATATATATATATATATATATATTAAAAGTGGATTTCATCTTTGTCAGATTCAGGTGATTCAGGCCTTGAAACACTAAAAATATCCTGACATGGTATTTGGGGAGGTACTTGGAGTGGCATTTGGGATTTGGGAGAAGAGGTCTGGGGTACGCTTTTTTCTGACAGTATTTTTAAAATTTCTGCCACCTGCTTTTCTAGGGCAGTCATTCTGCAGCTTAGCAGCTGAATGTCCTCTTTGAGTTCATGTTTGACTTCCTGCAGTGTGGTCTGTAAGGCCTGCTCGGGGATGGGATAAAAGGGGTGCTTGGCATCAGCCTGAATGGGACTGTGCTCCAGCGGACTTCGGGCCTCACCAGCCTTATCCAAACGAAGGTCACTTTTTGTAATTCCACTGTCACAAGAATCTGTTTTCCTTAACGGGTTTTTGGTCACACTGTTCTCCGAATCGCTGCCCTTGGGGTCCTCTGACAATAGCCCCATCGATTCGGCTTTAGTGACATTATTCCAGTCTTCCTTCTTCTCCTCCTGGGCTCCCATATTATTCTTGAGTCGCAGCCACCCCTTCCCATTTCCATTTTTCATTCTTATCGGGCTGTTGACTTTGAGACATTTGGGGTCAGCACCGCCATTGGGCTTGAGTTCCAGGGCATCACGGTTGTTCTGCTTAAGGGATTCGCTGGTTTTCACGTAGGCCAGAGACGTCTGAATGGGCGTGATCTGTGACACGGTCACCACGCTGGTGCCAGTGATGGAGGCCCCATTCTGCAAGGAGCGGCTTTCCACCTGGAGCTGGTTCCTCTCCGGGTCACTCTGCGTCGAGCCCTGATTCCGCAGCTCCTTCTGCTGCTTGAACTTCTGGAAGAGCTTTCGGACTGGGTGGTCCACGGGAATGCTGAGGGTCACCTCGTTCTTCTGCCTGAGGCGCTCCTCCTCTTCCTTCTTCACGTCGCTGATTTTACGGAAGATGATCTGTGGAGCGGGAGAGACACTGATTATATCATATACATACATGTAAATATATATCATATACATGCATGTTAATATATATCATATACATATATGTAAATATATATACTGTCATTATAAAAGCAGATGGATTCAGAATTCTGTGATTCTGAATCACAGAATACTGTCATTATAAAAGCAGATGGGTTCAGAATTCTGTGATACTATGCTGGATGTGCTTTGGTTTACAAAGAAAACCCTTGAATATATAAGATCTTTTCTGAAGGGAAAAAATATTCTAATGCCATTTAACAGATGCAATATTCCTAAAACCCAACATAGGGACATTGGCTACTTACTTAGTTATACTCGCCTACACATCAGAGGAGGAATGCAGTCAAGAGAAAACTGAATAGAGATACTCTGCTTGTAGTTTATCTTGCCATTTAATAGAAAATACATATATTTGTATATGTGTATAGCATATGTGTAAAAATACACATTTACTTGTTAAATTTTCCTGTAATGAATCACTATTTTTGTATGTTTTCCCCTTTTATATAGAAATAGGATTCAAAATCATTTTTATTATAATATCATCCTCTGTTTAGGGGTCAGACAGTAAGAATACTAGGCTATAAATGTACTGAAACTGTTTATTGAAAAGCTGGACAGTTTATCAACAGGGCACCTGGATTGTGCGGGAGGAAGGTTTAAGTTTATTTATGTGACCCTAGAAGGCAGTACCAGTTCAATACACAGACTTCATTTCCAACTACCTATTAATTGAATAAACCACCTTGAAAATTCAAGAATTTCCTACCATTAAAATATTCAAACAGAAGTAAGAATGTTTTCCATGCGACACTTTCACTAGGTTTGGGCTCTTCACATTCCAAGATTCTTTAGCTCTTAAATATAAAATTATAGATATATTACATGTGAAGTTAGATCCACAAATAAATAATAAGCATAATTTTATTAAAAATTTTAAAAATAATGCTGGGAAGAAGTTATGATAACCCCATCAAGAGAAATACAGTGTTGGCTATATAAGAAATCACCACCAATATTGTCAGAGTTGGAAGTGAATTCAGTAAGTGGGATATTTTTGTTCAGAATCTTGAAAAACAAAGTAATTGCAGGTGAAGGCTGTAAGGAAAATTCAAAAGAGTTATATTCGATAAAGCACTTTCAGAATCAGACAACTTTATGACTCAAGTAAAATTAATTACCTCAATCACCTTCTCTAAGTCACTGGTTAGGTTAGAAATACATGTGAAGCAGTTTCCAGCCCATAATCTACACCCCAAATATGTTGGTTCTCTCCTCCCTGAACTCTCCTAAAATAGTTCGTATTTGAAACCATTTTCATTACCCCTTTGAAAGCTCAGCGGCTTCCAAGAGTAACATACACTTATTGATTTTATACCAGAAACAAACACTAATGATGGTCATTGTTAACAGAAAAGTCAGGAATGTTAGCAATCTTCCTTCTAGAGCACATTTTCTTAATTTGAAATTGATGCACTAAACACAGTTTATGAAGTGGTAATAATTTGTATTTTAAAATAAATTACTCTCTAAAGTCAATAACTGTCTGTAAAGGCCAACTCATTTTTTTTCTCACTAGTGGCACATGAAATTGGGTCGTTTTGAAAGATGTAATTCTAATCTCAGAGTTTGACATCAAAGCTCCAGCAGTTTAATTAGAAGTCTTTCAAAGAGTTGACATATTTCTTATGCTTCCTGAGTAAACAGAGCTTGTGCTAAGCCTTCAAGATATTAACACTATGGAAATGGACAGACCTAAACACGGAAACACAGATACTATTTCTTATTTCAGCCCCCATTTGAAAGGCACTCACTTTCATTCTATGGACTGACAAGAAGGCCTAATTGGCCACCTCCCCCTTCCCACTCACTTCTGACCTTTTTTTTAGATTCATTTGTTTGTGAGAACAGGGGTTTTGTCTGTTTTGTTAACTGCTGCATCTCCAGTGTCTACAACAGTGCCTGCTACATTGAAAGTCCTCAATAAATAGATGTTACTCATTAATTCAATAAACTTTTCACGCATTCAGCAAGTGTGTACTTGTGATGGGTCTATGAATGGAAAGTGTTACAAATAAGAAGGGTGTTTTCTAGTTCCTTCACTATTTTCCACTCTCTAAACAATCAATCATTGTTATCTGTAATATTATTTATCATTAGTGTCTACTACTATTTCCTTATTTGGAAGCAGACATTATACAGTCTATCTTCTGCCATTCCTAGCACTTAGCCTACTGCCAAGCACAAGTAGATAATTAACAAGTGCATGGTGAGTACAGTTTCAAATCTTTGACCCACTTAGTTTTTGAAAGGTCTTGAATCAGAACCTTCCTTCAATTTCATTGTAAGGATACAGTAACTTCCATTAGGAACTCATTTTCCAGCCTATGACAATACAAAATTTTCTTAATGCAAGGTAAAAGAATATAGACACTAAAATTAAAAATAGGAAAAATGAAGAGGTGATTTTATCATGTTTATAAGCTTTAGGGACTAATGTACTCAAGTGCCACCATCAGTTAATCCATGTCTTATATGCAAAGTATGATAGGTTTTTGGTAAAAAGAATGAATTAAGTTAAATGCATTAAGAATGCATTAAATTAAAAAGAATATATTATATAACAAGAAAATAAACCATTTACTAACATAAGTAACTCACTGTATTTCCAAAATACTAAATGCAATAGGTTCTCTCAATTAAGTGCTCATAGTTTTGAAAACAACTTTGTGACCCTAAACTCCAATTTTGAATAACATTGAATATTTAATCTTAAGAAAACTACATTTCCATATTAATTATTCTGTTACTGTTATGAGTATTCTCAAATTAATTCTGCTGAACGTTTCCAGAAGTGCTTTTTACCTTTAATTTCTTTTATCATGAACACAATAAATGGTTCAACTTAATAACTTAACCAAAAGATTGAAGAATTTTATTTAGTGTGTTTAACAATAGTGTGTTTTTATTTAGATTAAAAAATTTTTGCATGCTACTCTCTAGCCATTGAAAGAACCTGGAAACAAAAAGACTTTTCATACTCCAGTTGAGTTTTTCATGAGCAATGTGTCACAGAGAAACTATAAAATCTTCTGCTAATTCAATACATAAACCATATAGATTAATTTTATCCAATTATTACATGGAAATGATTTTTTTCTCTAGAAAACAAATTTTGTTACAAACCCCACAAAGAAATTATTTTAGAGAGTGTTAAAAGATTTCAGTTCATATGAGCTCAACTTGTATGAATTAAACTTTGTAAAAGATAAAAATGTATATCCATAATTATCAATGTAGTGCTAAAAAATAAGCTTTTAAAAAAATCTCAGTATTATTAGCTCAGACCTTTTGCACCTGATGTACTCTGTCCATCTTTTGTCCGATGGCAAATCAAATTGATACTGAACACTGCAAAAATTAAGGGCAAAATTTAAAAAGAAAAATCAGGAATCAGGCTATGGTTCCAGCCACACATTTATTGGTAGAATGCACAATAGTTTGTATTGTTTCTATCAGAAAAGAGGTTTATTTCATTTAAGCTTTTCTTCTCTGTGCTTCATTATGTTTTGTGGATTCCATGCTGGAAGGTTTAATTTATTTAAATGATAAAAGCTTCTTAAACTTAACAGGGAACATAGCCAACTGAGCTTTCCATTTCAAAAGTAGGACATTTGATCATAAAAGTGATATCAAAAATTGAATAATTTGAATGTGTACTGAACTTTGAAATCCAATAAAGGCAAGGGGGAAAATGGGGGTTAGAATCATTTGTTTAATGACATGGATTTGGTGTTATATAATTTGCAGAAAGACAGAGGTGTTTTCTCTCAAACGGCTCTCCACTTTCCAGATATGAGGATCTAGGGAATCAACTGGAGATTTACAGCTATATGTGATCAAGCAGTGAGTGGCTCTGGTTCATCTGACTATCCTGGGATCTAGGTGGTTTGGTTCTTTGGTTCTTCTTACTGTTTCCATGAACTAAGTCACGAATTCTAACTCTAGTACTTCCAGTCCATGCCAACTTGAATTAATACGACAATGCATTATTTATTAAACACTATCATGTGCATATCAGAGGCTGTAGGCTCTTAATCAGGGCTCTTGATGGGGCTGTGGGAAATGTCCTTTCCACAAATTTGGATGTGTATAGGGTAGTGATGCTGCATCACACTCTGTTTTGAGATATGCCTGTCTTGCCACTCATAAATTACAGGCTCACCAAGGGGAAGGAATGTATACTAGATCTAATTCAGCCTCTTAGGTCCCTCCAAAATGTGAAAAATTAATTAATTAATGTAAATGCAAAGAAAAAGGAAGGTATGAAGGTAAGTAGAAAGAAAAGAGGGTGGAAGGCAGGAAGGAGGGAAGGAGAGAGAGAAGGAAGAAAAGGGAAGGAATATCTTTCAGTTTTGCTACTTTGCTGTGTAATGCCTAATGTGGATGAGGGTGGTTAGTAAGATGCAAATGCAAAACATTCTAGAATTACTGATACAATTACTGAACTAATAAAATGTTCTAGGCCTCATCTTTCTTTACCAAATAAAAGATCATGCATCTCAGTTCTCCAGGCTATCACAAACACTAAAATGTGTTTTTCACAAAGGACAAAACATAGATTGTAACTTTACTGATGCTAGCATAGCTTTGAAATACAGATTCTCAATACATATGTTTTTATTGCTAAAAGTTTTTCATTTAAAAAAATAAGAAGGAAGACTAACTCTGCAAAAGCAAGAATACAACTATTGCAAGGTAAAGCTGAATTTAAAGGTTTGCATTTCCTGTCTCAAATATTGCAGTAATCCATGGAATGATTTCCTTGCCTCAATTTCTTCAATTTTCCTTCATTCCATTCTTTGCCATTGCATATAAAATATGCTAATGTCATAGGTTAAATAATTACAGAATAAAATCAAAATTCCTTTATAATAAGTCATCAAGCCTGAGGTGGTCCAGCCCTATCT